CAGTGTGGAAGATACACATACACACACACACACACACACACACACACACACACACACACAGCCCTATAACAATTGATTTGTGCGTTATCATCAAGCCTTTGAGAAAACAGGCACCTTGTGTGGGATTAGTATGGAAGCTCAATTCTGTCGAGAAAAGACAAGAAAATCTGACAAAAACAAAAAACTAAATCCCAATTATGAGATAATGAGTCAGAACTTTGACAAACGCACCTCTGACACTTCACGCCATTGTCCTTATCTTTTCTTTTTTTCTTGGCAGAAATGAGCTCCCATAGATTAGATTAGACAGGATTAAAAAAGACCAGTTTAGATTATAATTTAATCAGCAGTGTTAAATTTTGCACCGAATTTTGATTTTGTCGTTTTAGTTTAGTTTTGGTTATTGTTGATCTCTACTTCTTGTTAAGTAAGTTCACTTTCTCATTATGACTTACAGAATCTTTTTTTCTGTCACACTGGCAGAAATGGGCTTCCATATTTTGCACACAAAGTCCGTTTTTCTTTGTCTAAAATTGTCGCATGTTAAAAAATAAATACGACCTCACATTGAACCAATTATATTTACACACCAACTCCTGAAAACCCGATATTCCTGTTTTCTTTTTCTAACTGTGAGACGACCACAAAATCATCCTCACAGCTCCGTCTCGTATTGTGAATTTCCAAATCTAATATAACAACTCATCGGATTCAGTTTGGAAGGTTTCTACATGTAACAAATTTAATCGAATTAAGGATAAAAAAGAAAACATCAGAAAAATGTCAACTTGATGTGCAAGGGCCGAGAAAAAAATGACATTTTGCGTTGAGAAGCTGACATTTAACATACAAAGTTAACATCATATTACCTTTTTATAATTTCATGTTTTATCCCAGCAGTTCTGTTGCTGTTTGTTGAATAATTTCCGATCGGACTATTAATGATTTTGTCCATAAAGTTTTGTTAACCAATGTTAATTTAATTGATAACGTTCATTTGTTTTTGTTCAATAACATTTTTCAGCTTTAAAGTTACCTTTTATTTAGGTTTTCTAATTTTCTGTCAGTTTTTCATTGACAAAATTAAAATGACTAATTACAATAGATTGTCGTTTACTCTGTAGTTGTGTGGTCAGATGTAGCTGTACTGTCGTCAAGCCACATTCACTGAATATTACAAATAGTTGTGGACCTCCTTCTGATCACATCAGGGATGATAATGGAGAGATTTGGGTTGTGGTCATTATAATTGCGTCCAGAGACACAAAAAAGGGCTGGAGCTTGAATCAAATGCACACATTCAAAATTGTAGAAAAAAAATCACTCATGGCATTTATAAAGGACATTACTGCCATCTTATTGTGGCTACAAACTCCTGACGTGTTCAGATTTACACAGGCACAACTAACACTCAACATCACAGATAGAAAAGGTTTCAATCAAGTGGCGCTGACATTGTCGAGCCGTTACTGTCGGCACCAGCAAACGTAATCCGACACTTTCCCTCAAATCTTTGTTCAGCCGCCTTCACAGAAACACACGTTCAAAGGCATCTTTTTCTTTTTTCAGTTTGGCCGTCCGAACATACAGAGGCGGCGGTTTCCTCTCTTTTCTGAAATGCTCCATAATGTGCTATCTTTAGCACGTTAGCATGCTAATCTTTAATCTGAACTCAGCTGGGAATAGGGGTGTTTTGTTGCTGCTTGTTATTAAATTTCCAGGCAGACTATAGATAATTTAGTCCATATATCTTTTACTTTTGTAAACTAATGTTAATTTAATTGTTAATTTGTCCATTTTTATATATTTTATATATATTTTATTGTTTCCAAAGTTACTTTTTATTTAGCTTTTCTTAAATCCTCTCCTTAATCTCCATAATGTGCTAACTTTGGCACAGTAGCATGCTGATATGTTAGGAGGACTGTAATGAGTCTGCTACCGTGTTAGCATGCTAACGTTTAATCTGAACTCAGCTGAGAATAGGGATGGGAATCGAGAACCGGTTCCAAATCGTCTGATCCATCGGAATCGTATGCCTCCGAACTTATCAATTCCTTTATCAAACAAAGCGTTTTCTTACTCTGTTTCTACACTTTGTTTCGATTTGAAGACAATAAAACTGTTGCGTTCGTTGATACTGAATACCTGTGTATGCAGGAATCAATAAGGGAATCCATAAAGAATCAACAATGACACTAGCATCAATACAATCTTATCAATTCCCTTCCCAAAGTCTGAAGTAATTACGGTCATAAGTACGAAACAACTTTACTTTGGTGAATGCAATGCCCTCCTGTATATGATAAAGAACTTAAATCTACCATATTTAATATGGCATGGGATCAATAAAGTTTATCGTATCTTATTTGTAATACAATTAACTTTTTTAGAACAGTTTAATAATCTGATAATAATAATTATTACTAGAATCTTTTACAATCAAATATACTCTTCAGCGTTTTTTAAATAATCTCTATTATACCATATTATAACATTTTGTTTTTCCAACTTTTAAAAGATTCTTTTAATCATTAATAAACTTTTTGTGAGGTATCAATAGTTTTCACGTGAAGACATAATTACTGTTAGCTGCTAAACTACAATTAACTTTTATTTATTGAGGGAAGTATCTTCATCAACACCCTGCTTCACATTTATAAGTTCCACACATCAGACCATAGAGCTGCCCAGTATAAACACTGGTGACTACTGGAGACGTCCCAGTACAACTTTCAGTGAAATATTTTTAAAATAAAACAGGGAGTAAAAATCAGAGGAAGCCAGAATCTCTAGACTCTCACACTGCAGCCGCCACAATAATGATAATAAAAACAATAATAGTTTACAAAGAAATTAAGTATCTGTCTTCATTTATTAATTATTACTGATCTGTGACACTATATTGGTCATCAGTTCTTTCTGAATATCAAATAATGTTAAATATAAAGCTGGAAGTTGTTCAATACCAGAGTTTCAGTAGCGAGGGGATGTTTTTTGTTTTCATTAAAAAAAAGAAGCCAATGTTGTCAAATGTTAAAGGTTGTACAATAGAGACATGATTTAAGAGGCAAATGCTACAAATATATCACTTTAATAACCTGTGAACTTATTAGCAACTGAGCTAACAAGCTTGCTAACTCACAGTTAGCTTTAAAGCTAGCTTGGAGAGCTTTTGTTCCCCTCTTCAGTTACTCTGATGAGTGTCTGATGAAGAAAAAAACAGTAAAGAGGAAATATAACTGACCAACTACCCCCAATAGGTTCCTGCCTGGCTAGCGTGTTAGCAGTAAGCAGCTACTGGCCAACTGTGCCAACAGCCCATCTTTTCGAAACCATAGTCCGAAAAATGTCTCATTGGACCGAAAGCCAATTTGTCTGACAGCCTGTTGTCTGAAAACAAGCAGCCATTTCTCCAAAGTATTTTCCAGAAATCCAAACACTCCCTGGAGGTTTTTGCCCAGAAGATCTTTTTGAATTTGGATGTGTTTCATCATCATGGTAACAATAATAAACACGTGGTTAAACGGTCGCAGTTTAGGCATCAAAAGTACTTGGTTTAGGAAAGAGCGCAGTTAGGCTTAAAAGTACTTCAGTTAGGTTAAAGTTGGTGATACCAGAGTGCGAGTGATGGGCATTTGTTTTTGGAAAAACAGGCCGTCAGTCCAATGGGACATTTTTCAGACAATTTGGTTTTCGGAATAATGGAATGACTCCAACTAAAGTAACTCACAGACTAACCATGAGAGGAGTCACTGTATCACTAAGAACCAATCTTAGGTAAAATAACTGTTTTATCACTCTTACATTTTGTACATTATTAGACTTTTGGGGCTTTTGGCGGTCCTGAAACTCAAGTATTGAATCAAACCAGTACTGAACATTTTAAACAACCTACATTAATCATTAGTCATTGTTTGGACATCAATGAACTGCAGTTGCTCTGACAGAACCCTGTAGCTAACAGATGTTTACAACAAAAAGTATGTTTCTTTGCCGATGAGGAGGACGTATCTTCATCCAAACTTCACTCACATTTGGCTGGTTTTAAACTTTCCAACAAACGGATGCTCAATACATCGGAACAATATACTGCAGCTAATAGATAATCTCATCGTTTTAAAGCATTTCTAACTGATTCTGAAATGACGCACACAGTCATCAGTGGTTCAAAAAACGAAACCAATTAACTGCTGTGGTTCTAACAAGGTTCTCGTTTCCAGAATCCAAACCGCAGCACTCGCACACACATTAACACTCACGCATACAACGTTTTTAAATGACTGCTAATCTCAACATGACATTACACAGCATCCAGTATATTATTATTATTACGTCAAGAGGTTTGACCCTTGAACACACCACATGAACACGTACAAACAACAAAGATCTTGGCATTAAAAAAATCATCATAAAAAAGTTTCTCATGTTTTTTTTTTCCTGTTGATTCCTTTTTTTCCTCCGAGGAACCAAAGATGATTAACGCTGCTGTCCTCCTTCCTCTTCTTCTTTTATTCTGGTCTTTTTTGCCCTTGTTGCTCAGTCAGAAGAGTCTAACAGAGTGTGCAGTTAAACATTTTCCCTCACTGTCAAACTGGTATTTTGTTCTTGGTTAAGTCAGAAAAGGGAGATGAGGGAGTTTGGGACATGAAAAGTAAGGACCCGGTCAGACCAGCATGAGCTCAATTCATTTAAAAAGAAATGACACGGATTAAAATCTCTTGAATAAGCTGTGTTTAGTTTTAATCCTGTTAGCAACCGAGCTAGCTATCGTCTTTATTGGCAGTTGACAAACTAGCTAGCTTGGTAGACTACTGCGGCTGGCTAATGCTAACATGTTCCAACAGACTTTTAGAACAAAAAGCAACAATAACGTTAAATTCTGAGAATAATTTTGACAAAACACCTTCAGTAAAACAATTAACTGTAATTAACAGACCGTTAACCGTTCCTGTGTCCACTAGGCTCCAATCAAACTATCTGACAAACCAACTTCAGCAAGAAATCACAAGCTTTTGGTTGGTGCTAAAGCAGAAATCACAAGCTTTTAGTTGGTGCTAAAGCAGAAATCACAAGCTTTTGGTTGGTGCTAAAGCAGAAATCACAAGCTTTTAGTTGGTGCTAAAGCAGAAATCACAAGCTTTAGGTTGGTGCTAAAGCAGAAATCACAAGCTTTAGATTGGTGCTAAAGCAGAAATCACAAGCTGTTGGTTGGTGCTAAAGCAGAAATCACAAGCTTTTAGTTGGTGCTAAAGCAGAAATCACAAGCTTTAGGTTGGTGCTAAAGCAGAAATCACAAGCTTTTGGTTGGTGCTAAAGCAGAAATCACAAGCTTTAGATTGGTGCTAAAGCAGAAATCACAAGCTTTAGGTTGGTGCTAAAGCAGAAATCACAAGCTTTTGGTTGGTGCTAAAGCAGAAATCACAAGCTTTTGTGATTGGTGCTAAAGCAGAAATCACAAGCTTTAGATTGGTGCTAAAGCAGAAATCACAAGCTTTGGTTTTAGATTGGTGCTAAAGCAGAAATCACAAGCTTTTAGGTTGGTGCTAAAGCAGAAATCACAAGCTTTTGGTTGGTGCTAAAGCAGAAATCACAAGCTGTTGGTTGGTGCTAAAGCAGAAATCACAAGCTGTTGGTTGGTGCTAAAGCAGAAATCACAAGCTTTAGATTGGTGCTAAAGCAGAAATCACAAGCTTTTGGTTGATGCTAAAGCATCTAGATTGTAGAGCTAGCCAGCTCTCTAACTGGCAGCTAGCTTGATGGGCTACTGTAGCTAGCTAGCATGTTAACAGTTAGCCTTCTCAAGTACTCATACATGCAGCGTCATAGCTAGAATCACATTTTATTTACTTTAAAAATAATTTCAATAAAAAAATGTGGGGAAAATTGGCTAAATACATTTAATTTTTCTATTCAATATAATGAGTCTAAAACAAAGTGAATTTCCCGCAAATGTTCTGGTCTGACCGGGCACCGAGAGAAAGACTGAGGAGTAAACACTGTGGATGTTGAGTTGGAGGAAGGTCAGCAGAGTCGTGTTCACAGAGGATAAAAAAAGGGTTTTGGACTGAAGCGTAATGCATCATTTAGTGTGTCCAAAAGATAAAAATAAAACCTGAACTTATCACAGTAGATGATTTCATGAGTATTGCAAGAGATGGATGAAGGAAGAGAACAATGGATGACGCCTACTGGTCCTGGCTGCTGAAGAATTCTCCAGAGGATCCGTTGGTTTCTGTTTCAGTCCGTTCAGAAGATAATTCAGTTCCTTCCAGGTTCTCTTCTTTAATCTGTGAAGCTACAGAAACAAAGAGGACATCTAGGAATATTGTACTTTTTACTTCACTACACTTATCTGACAGCTTTAGTGCCTTTACAAGATTTAGCTTATAAAATATGATGTTTTGTTGTAAATCAATCTACCCAACAGTTTATACAAGTACAGCTGAAACCATTAGTCCGTTAATCAATTAGTCGATGGACAGACAACTATTTTTAAGTTGTTAAAGCTTCTATACGTAACTTTCATTAAACTTTAGTTAACAGCGCCACCAGTGGCTATTCAGTGAACTGCATCCTGGGCTTAATGGATCAATAATCAGCATATGGATCCATAATGAAAATAATCCTTTAATAGTTGAAAATGAACTCCAGTGATATGATAATAGTGTGTGTACCTGCCCCCCCCTCCGTGTTCGGGCTGCTCTCGGGGTCGGCGGAGGGGGGCTGGGCCGCTGAGGCAGGAGTAGGGGGTGATGGGTAATCGGGCGGAGTCTCGTTCTCGTCTCCCGATAGGCTCCTGGGGACGCCGGTTACCACGACGCCGGAGAGGCTGACGGGTCGCTTAGCGATGGGCAACTTCCTCTCTGAGAGAAGAAAGAAAGAAGACAAGTCAGTGAAAACAGGCGTAAATAAACAATTATATGTATTATTTTCAGATTTTTTACGCTTTCGTCTTAATTTCTGTATGTTTATGGGCGTTTCTGATAATAATTTTTTGTTTTGGTATCTACAAAAGCTTGAAAGTGCTTTAAAAATAATATTATTGTGATTTATCAAAATCTGTAATTGAAAAAAACAATCTCCTTTATGCATGCTCCTTTTTGCAAACATTTAATCTTACAACGTATAAACCAAATTATTAATTATTATATTCATGTGGTTCATTCATCATTCAGACAGAAATGTGAAGCTGCAGCAGTAAGTAAAGAAGTAAAGAATAATGAAATCAGCCATTTTATTAATTCAATTTATTTCATATATAGAAATTATTTAAAAATACAATTTCAACAAATGTGTTGATAAATAATAATTTTAAAGTCAGTGTAAAGGAGATTTGTCCCAATGCTGGTGATTTAATATTGTGAAATATTCCACAATATAAGATATTATAACTGCGACCACAGTTTAATGTAATCTGATGTTTTACATTCTGTCGTGTCTTTTTATAAATTAATGTATAAACTTTTCTGTTTTTTGAGACTTACTCTTCTTCTGTCCTTTGTACTGCTGGGATTTCTTCCTCTGTTTGGATGCTGCTGACTGCAGATCTCTGGAGCCTGAAACACATTTTATTTTACAAACAGGAAACATATAAAGTTATTTAAAGATAACTCGCTCACTCCCAGGTACCGGGTCATTCCACCCTATCAGGGTGTGTGTTACCTGCGTTGACAGCAGGAGGCTGCAGCTGATACCCGGTCAGCTGACACCAGCCGACCGGGTACAGGTCCGGCGACTCGCAGTCCACCCACTGATCGTACTCGTCCTCCCAGCCGTCAAAGTGTATCCGTAGCAACCTGTGGACGATGCGGGTCACCGTGGCGACGCAGACCAGCCTGGGCTCCATGAGGTCCACGGCCTCCAGCTTCATGCCGGGACGGAAACCATGGTTAGGGACGTCCTGACGGAGGACAGAGGACGAATCAGGGTTCGTTGATGAGGATGGATGTTGGTCTATAAAAGATCCTACTGATTTATTTTTGGGTTTCGTGTTTTGTGTCCATTTGTGTTTTTTTTTAAATCCACAAATAAATTAAATCAACTCAAAAGAGCCCAAAGTGATGTCTTCAGACACAAAAAAGCATTTAAGACACTGGCACCATAAAATATTTTGCTTGTAAACTTACTTAAAGGTTATGAATACGAAGGTGTTGCAGTGGAGCGCCACAATCTCAGACCTAAACAAACAGGCGCTGAGGCCCACCAGACTCCATTCACAAAACCAGTCATTTTATCTAAGCTAGCAGATAATTGTAAACACACTTCAGACTGGACAGAAACAAAATCTTTGTTAGTCTTTCCAACAATCTAATGCTGGTTAGGTCAAAATAAATCATTAATTAAATAAGAATTTATTTGCCAAACGGACTGCTATGGCGGCAAAGTAATCCCTTTGGACAAATCCACTCAAAGTTTGTTCACTAACAGTAGTTGTTGTTTGTTCCACTAACAGTAGTTGTTGTTTGTTCCACTAACAGTAGTTGTTGTTTGTTCCACTAACAGTAGTTGTTGTTTGTTCCACTAACAGTAGTTGTTGTTTGTTCCACTAACAGTAGTTGTTTCTGCCACTGACAGACTCAGGTTGTTATTGTCAGTGTCTGACAGTATTATGGAAAGGATCCCTACAGAGATAGACCTTTAGTTTAACCACAAACAGCCGTAATATCACTATCACTCTCCACCAGACTCCAGAGACACAAACACTTATTTTACCTTCAGATCATCGTAATTTCATTAAAGTGGACAGAAACAGAATGAAACTCATTAAACCGCCTGTTAAACAATCTTATCAGTGTTTAGTCTGACCTTGTTGAAGAGGTTGACGGGAGCAGCCACAGACTTGGTCTCCTTCAGATACTCGAACCATCTGAAGGGAAGGTTGGTGTAACCTGACACACACAAACACAGAGAAGATATATTAGATTCACTTTAATAACTTTACTCATTTATTATAAAACATTTGTGGGTTTATTAAAATTTTGCTTTCATTGAAGTGTGGAGACAAATGGTTTGAAAATATCCAAAATGAAAACGGTGTATTTGGTTGTATTGTAGGTTAAAGACGCAGCAACTGTGGTTTGATGAGGATGATCCAATGTGGTTTTCACATAAACTGGTGAATCTCAGAGAATTTGTAATATTTTACTTACTTTAAATAACTTTCTAATCTCTGACAATATTCTTGTTTTTTCTCGTAACTTTGAGATTTTTCTTGTAAATTTACAACAATTCTGTTTGTTGAATTGTGGACTTTGTTGCAGACGATGACGTCCTGAAGACTTCAGTTGTCTTTTCTCCGTGGACATACTACCTCTGGGGGGGGTCAGCTCGATGCTGTTGATCTCACAGAAGCCGGAGGGGAAGATGGAGGGAGAGGTGGAGTGATAACAGAACCAGTCTGAACCGTCGGCCGCCTCCGAGCCGTCGATACCGATCATCAGGTACCCGTCTGCCAGGACCTGATGGAGAGAGACGACAGGCGGTTTATGGACCGAACCCGGAGCCGGTGCGCTCGGTGTCGGCCCTCAGGCGGCTCTCACCTTCCTGACTGTGGCCACGCAGATAGCAGACAGGTTCAGAGGGTCGATGGCTTCCAGCTTCATCCCATCTTCAAACCAGTGTCCGCTCTGATCCACCTCCTTCACCTGCACAGGTACAGAACAAACGCTGGTCATAGCTCTCCTCAGGATGGTGCAGCGGCCCGTAGAGCCAGCGCTAACTTGTTGGCTAACTCAAAAAACCATGTATCCACCATTTTACAGCTGCTTCTTTAACAACGTAAGCTTACGGGGAAAAGTCTGTTTGTGCCAGTGTGCCGATTAAACAGAAGTTTAAATTTAGACAGTCAAATAGTCTAAAAGGAAGAAAACGCTGTTGCACTGCAGGTGATGTTGTTGTTGCTGTTGTTGTTGATGTTGTTGTTGTCGTTCTCACCTTGGCAAACAGCTGCCCGGGAGCATCCATCAGACCACCCAGCTTCTTCGACACATCTGCAAACACACACACCTTCATCATCACACCCACTGCTCATTAATCTGCTGCCACCTTACATCAAACTAGGGGCTCGCCAAAAGCTTCACGGAGGGTTACAAGGCCCTGGTTTTAGGACGAGTGAGAAACCCTAAAAAATTTACACAGTTGGAATAAATCTCAGCATTTCATTCATATCTTTGAGGAAAACTAAATTAAACCGATATTTTTTAAGTTTTGATTATTTTTTAAGAGTCTCGGGCTTCATTAGAAAAGTTCAACCAACCAACCAAAGAGCTGAGAGAACAATGAGCAGAAACAGTGAATCTGTCAGAAAAGAAGAATATTAAGTCTGTATGATTGTTAAAAATAATAAAAACACAGAATACAGACAGAGAATTGAATAAAATATCAGGAAAACTCATCTCTTATCAATATTTATATTCAAATCACTCAGCACTGATCAATCAATAATGTCTTCCTTTTTTGTCACTGAATAAAAGAAACCAAAGTTGTAGAATGTGAAGTTAATATTTTTAAGTACATTTTTTTTTTTTTTTAAATGCAGTCTGGTGAAGTGTACAGGCCCAGCGCCACCCGGTGGTTGGAGCTCATTAAACCCACCAGATCGTTTGAAGCGGTGTCCGATGGATCGGGACCAGCCG